GAGCAGACCGCCCCCGCGTAAAGAAGAGAAAAGGCTCCAAATGTCAGGAGATGCTAAATTTCACCTCCACTTCCTCGTGCTTGTCCTCGAACCTCTCGCGTGTGGGTCAAAACCTACCAAAGCGACTTCAACATCAAATTAGCTCTAACGGGATGTGCCGCAGAGCAGATGATCTGATATTTGCATTTTCATACAAGTCCACGAGCAGCCGGCTTCCTCCCGCGCTCGCCACCTGAGTCCCCGTCACTGCTGATGGCTTTTTGCTGCTCATCTGTGCATGAACTCTCTCTGCTGAACACTCGCAGGTGACTCGCTGCTGAGCAAACATCGACTCTACGACTTACTTAAAGGGATTCAGGAAGAACTGCGTTATGTTTACCGAGCGATCGCCCAGAAAAGCTGGCATGCCTATAAATACAGCGCGTGGTTCTGTGCGTGCACCTTTCAACGTACAGGTAAACAGCGTCAGTCAGTGCGTGGGCTGAATGTGGAGCTGGTCACGGTTAGCCTAGCTTAGCTTAACGACTGAATGCAGGCGGGGTGAAACGGTAACAAACAGCTTTGAACCATCGGTCCCAAAATCAGCAGCTCGAGTTCGCCGTCACACCTGTATTTCAGCAGGAGACTGCAGCGAGTCGAGCGCCAGTGTTACAGGGCTGTGGTGATGTCAGAGTGTAACGCAAACGGTGACCATAAGCTAGATTTTAGTGCAGGTCTCTGTCACCACGGAGGCCAGCAGCTGGTTGGATTGGGGCTTCACCTCCAGCTCTTTAACCTCTTATTGTCCAGGTTCAGTAAGAAACATGTGGATTCCCTCATCTACCTGCGCTCTCAGGTGTTTGGGCTGCTAGACTAGACATCATCTCTTCTGATCACAGCCAAGTCTTCATGACTCTGCTCCAGGCTGATCTTTCACCAGGACTCTGACCTGCTGTGGAGCTTCATCTGAGTCTAATCACCAAAAGATTTATTACTTAAACGAAATAAATTAGATTCAATTCTTTCAAATCGTGTCTTCTTATTGAATTTCAAAGTTCAAATTCAGTAACTGCATGTTTGTTAAGTCACCTCGACCGCAGACAAAGTTCAGTTTACATCTCAGTGCTAAACTCTTTTTGTATTTGTGACATTTGAGGAGACCGTTCCTCCTGCTTTCAGTCGTTGCGCAAAGATAGGCTCCTCCCCTCAGAGCTCCATGAGGGGAGGAGTCTGTGCTAATCTGTGCTAACGTGTGTGTCACATTTCACTGTATCACACGTGTGTGTGTTCCTAGTATCTGGCGTCAGCATCATAGCACCCGTTTAACCCATTGTCCACACACAGCTCCTTCTCTAATTGGTCGGTTGCTGCTGACATCACGTTTTGAACAATGACCACGGCCGC